TGTTGTTGCTTAGGAAGCGGAAAGACGTTAGCGTTTGCCATTCCAATGATCCATTCCATTCTTCAGTGGTACAAATCAAAAGGATGGTCCAGTGGAAATGACAGTGGAGACAAGATGCCAGAGCAGGAAACAGCTGAGGAAATGGCGAGCCTCAACCCAGATGGTGCTGAAGCTGCTGCTGCTACTACTGATGACGGTGGTGATACTGATGACGATGATCAGTCTTGGGCAACAAACTGTGTGTCAGAAATGGGTTCAGGACCTCCAGGACTTGATGCTGTCCCAGGCACAAGCAATCCTCTTCTGGGATTGGTCTTGACTCCTACAAGGGAACTGGCTGTCCAAGTAAAGCATCACATTGATGCTGTTACCAAGTTCACACGTACGTTCCTTCTTGCTGTTTCTTTGTAATCCGTGCCTTAGCTCCGTAAAACTGGCAAGCTCCCATCACTTGCTGTGCTGCTCTCTCCCTGTAAAGGCTCCTCCTGTTTTGTAGGAAAAAAGTACCCTACAGTTTCCCTCCCTTTGGAAAAAAATCGCAAAATGCACTTTTTAGTGAGGCTCCAGCTTTGAGCGAGGCTTATCAGCTTGCTTTAAAAAAAAAAAAAGTTTCTAGCTCTCATTATATGAATGTTTCCTCACTTCTTTGCTCTTTTTTTCCCTTCCTCTTCTTTGTTCAGTAAACATGAATTAGAATGTGAGCCAGGATGGTGTAGTCTGTGGAGAGAATGTTGGACAAGGACTCGGGAGACCCGAGTTCACATCCTTGCCCAGTCATGGAAGTTCACTGGGGTGACAGCAGTGGCAAACCACTCCTTGGAAATATCACATGCCTCAAAAAACCGGTTAGGGTCACCATACACAGGCAGTGACTTGACAGCACATAACAGCAAATGCAACAAATGTTCCTTGTTGCTTTTAGAATTGTAGTTTATCTCATCCTGTCTGTATGACTAAGGGACAAAGAAAGTGCATTATAGAGATGAGGTGATTTGTCCTTCTAGCCCAATTTTGTTTTCTGCAATTGATTATTGCTGCTCAAGATCCCAGCCAGGCAGTCTTTCAGATCACCTATCTTTCCATCTATTTTATACAGTGGTGCCTCGCTTAACGGGTGCCCCGTTTAATGAAGAAATCGCATAGCGATGAAGAATTTGCGATCGCAAAAGTGATCGCATTGCGATATTCCCTATGGGAAAAAATCGCTTTGCAATGATCGGTTCGCTGTTTCGCTTACCGATCATCACATAGCGATGATTTCCCAACAGCTGATCGGCGGTTCCAAAATGGCCACCGGGTAAAAAAAATGGCCGCCCGCTGTTTTCTGGGACGGATTCCTCACATGCCGGGCAGCGAATATGGCTGCTCTATGAAGGATTTTCGCTTTAAGGTGAGTCTGAAGCCCATAGGAACGCATTGAAGGGGTTTCAATGCATTCCTATGGGCTTTTAAAAATTGCATAGCGACAAAATCGCTTTGCAGCGATTTTTCCTGCACAGATTATCGTTGCTATGCGAGGCACCACTGTATCTTTAATTGGAGATGATAGGGATTCCACTTCTGACCTTCTAGATATAAAGCATGCACTTGTGGTAGTAAGCTGTAGTCTCTCTTCAGGCACACAAATAAATATGAGTAAAATAATAAATGGGGACAAAGTGGCATTTATTGAACCTATTCCTATTGAATTTGCTTTATTTTATTGGTTACGTTGCTGTCCTGTCTTTCATTCAGGTTGTTCTATGACTGTGACATACTTTTCTCCTGCATCCTATCTTCTTAACAACCCTCAGACCAGGCTGAGAAATAGAATATTTGACCCAGGATCAGCCAGTAAATTTCATGACTCAGTGGGGACTTGAACTTGGATCTAATAGTTCCCAGTCTAGCAATCCAGTCACTGCAAACACACAAGCACTGTTTATTTGTGCATGTAGTGAAGCAGGTCATTTTGTGGTAGACATAATCTGCTTTGGTAGATGATGTTAAAATAGCGGACAGTATCCTTTTTGCAAATTGCTATATGCATAAGGACAGTTACAAGCAGGTTTGTTTCAGTTTTTGCTAGTTGTTGATGACACAACCAGAGGATGACCAGGTATGTGATGTACAGCAGGCAAAATACTTCCCACCTCTTGCTCGGTTGATCCTGTCGCTAGGCATAATCCAACAGGATTCTAGGCAGTGATTCTGACCCTTTAATGTCTCGTCAACTTGTGTATTCAGGCATTAAAACAGCCATTCTCGTTGGCGGGATGGCGCCTCAGAAGCAGCAGCGGATCTTGAAAAGAAAGCCGGAAATTATCATTGCAACCCCAGGGCGCCTGTGGGAGCTAATTCAAGAGAAGCATCCTCACCTTTCAAACCTACGGCAGCTCAGGTATGAGGGCTTTTTTCAAAGCAGTCTGCTCTTTTGTCATTCTCAAAGAACTGTGATATTGCATCTTAACAAGACGAATTAAAAGTCTTGTGGTCTCTTAAAAAACTATAGCTTGAAACTTTGTGGGCAGTTGGCCATTTTATCAAATTTCTGAAGTGATATCCAGAATTTCAGTTCTGTGTGTGGTGTGCATACTGACATAAGATACTAGTCTGTCTTCCCTATCCAGACTTCCTTCGTATTCACTGTTGCTTTTTCATTCAGGTACTTAGCAGGCCGAACCCTGCTTTCCTTCTGAAATCAGATTTATTAGATGTTTCCAGGATGCTATTAGTGGTACTGGGATTGGAGATAGTAAGGTCAAGAGGGAACTTAAACACAGAAAATACTGTCAGTGACAGTTATATTCTTGACAAAGAAACCTTCAGTAGTGCAGTGTTAATGTGTACCCCAAGGGTTTAGGTTTTGTGGTGGGGGTTGCAACTATTTCACTACTTATATTTATGCGAACTTAAACACAGAAAATACTGTCAGTGATAGTTATATTCTTGACAAAGACACCTTCAGTAGTGCAGTGTTAATATGTACCCTGAGGGTTTAGGTTTTGTGGTGGGGGGGGTTGCAACTATTTCACTACTTATACTGACTTGATCTTTGGGCGGCTTACAACAATTGAAATTCAATTAAAATACAATAAAAGATAAAATGATTAAAATACAATTAAAATTGCCATCAGGACCCACAGTTGTTATTTCAATTAAAATTTATACTTACTTGACCTTCCTGCCCACCTCTTCCTAGCTCATCCCACATTTCAAAGAAAACATAGAGGGAACAGTGATGAGCTGTGAAGTCGAACCAGATCTCATAGGGTCAAAGTCATGGGACTTTCTGAATACCAGGGATTTGACTTCACTTGACCTCTTCCTAGCTCATCCCACATTTCAAAGAAAACATCAAGGGAACAGTGATGAGCTGTGAAGGGTCAAAGTCATGGGACTTTCTGAATAGCAGGGATTTGACTTCACTTCTTTCCTCTAAGCTTAGCTGGAATCTTCAGAGTAGCCAAGAGAAGAAATGATTTTTCTGAGAGCAGTTTATTATTACCAGCTATCTCTGTTGTAATGCATCATATTTGGGATCGCTGGTTCATGTAAAGATAATCATAAGCCATTACTTTTACAAAAAAACCTGCTTCTCAAGAGTTAATATGCACTAATCCAGCAGCTTGCATATTTTGACTCTCCTTATGGGAGGGTCTGGCTCTGTGGACTGCATGATGAGTATGTACACTTTCCAATTTGCAGCGACATCACCAATGATGGCAGCCATCTGGCTGACTCTTTGTGCCTTGCTGGTGTAGGGCTGCCCCCCATGTCTTCCCAGCAAGGAAAGGGATTGCATGGGAGTCTTAGGGGCTTCTGCACAGTGCAAAATGTTCAATTAAAAATGTGCTGATGATGGCATTCCAGAAATAAGATTTCAGCTAGGGTCTTTTAGAAAGACATGAGTACATCCATTTTATATAATAGGTTTTATTTTTATTTTTGAAAAAGATAATAGCCTTGTTAGGTCAGATCATAGGCCTAGTTTTTGCGTGGTGTAGCAGTAAACGTTCTTTTGAAGTATATCACTATTTTTATTTTTGAAAAAGATAATAGCCTTGTTGGGTCAGATCATAGGCCTAGTTTTTGCGTGGTGTAGCAGTAAACGTTTTCCACATTATTTTCCACATTATTTGAATAAAATGTCTCAGGTGGGCTCTTCCTTGTGCCCAACAGGTGCCTGGTGATCGATGAAGCAGACCGAATGGTGGAGAAAGGACATTTTGCAGAACTGTCCCAGCTGCTGGAAATGTTAAGCGATTCACAGTATAACCCCAAGCGTCAGACATTTGTCTTCTCTGCCACACTGACTTTGATCCATCAAGTTCCAGCTAGAGTTCTCCAGAAGAAAAATGCTGTCAGGTTAGACAAAAAGACCAAGCTGGACACACTGATGCAAAAAGTGGGCATCAAGGGCAAACCGAAAGTGATAGACTTGACAAGAAAAGAAGCCACTGTGGAAACTCTCACCGAGACCAGAATCCACTGTGACACAGACGAGAAAGACTATTACCTCTACTACTTCCTACTACAATACCCTGGCAGAACCATGGTTTTTGCGAACAGTATAGATTGCATCAAGCGACTCACTGCACTCCTGACCATATTGGACTGCAACCCACTACCTCTTCATGCCAACATGCACCAGAAACAAAGGTTAAAAAATCTGGAAAGGTTTGCTGAACGAGACAGGTAGGATTGGCTTGTTTGGTTTTGGTTTTTGTTGTTTGTGTGTGCGTGTGTGTGAATCCTAAACGAGACCCACCTACGCCCACCAAAGTGGACACACTTGAAATCACAAGAAAATCATTAAAAGCCACAGCAATAATGGGTAAGGGAGCAGGGAAATTTTCTTTAAAGCTAGGGAGAATTTTACAACAAAACAAAAAACCAGGCGAGTTCTTAACAGTCTAAAATAGAGTTAGATTTCTGTTATAGTTGAGGAAGAGATTTGTTCAGCCTGGGGTGGAAGTGGGGGGATCATGATTTATTTATTTATTTAACATGTTTGCATGCCACCTTTCTCCTTAAAAAGAAGACCCAAGGTGGCTTACATCATTAAAAGACGTTATTTGAAAGCTAAAACCAGGAAGTATATACAAATATTAAAAGAATTAAACAAATACCACACTCTGTTCTTCTGAGGTGAAATGCAGAGCCTCCTCATATTGGATCTGCTAGAGAGAAAGGATCATATGGAAAAAGGTAGGCCTTCAGTTATCCCAGTTCTGTACCCTTTAGAGCTTTATAGGTAGAAACTGTAGCTATAGAGTGTTCTCAGAAATCAGCGAGAAGGCATCGCTTTAAAGTAACAGTCATGTACAATAAGCTTACAGCAGCTACCAAGCATGGGAAAGTTCTTTTCTATGTTACAATTCCCAGAATCCTCCAGTCACCAAGGGCAGGCTGAGGGATTTCTGTGAATTCTAATCTGAAAAAGGCACTTTTTCAAACTCTGAACAACACAACAACTGGCTTTTATGGGGACTGTTGAGGGCTAATTCATCTGTGCCTCACCCTTGCCCTTCAGAATGGTCTGCCATGACCTTTTGTTGCCACGTGCCCTATTCTCAGTCGCTCATCCATACTAGTCAGTATTGATGGTTTGTGTAGAAAAGGGAGAGAACAATCTAAGGAGAGCATTACCTGGGTAAAAATGCAGACATCCTATGTCATAGTCTCCACCATTACACACACACATACACACAGAGAGACAGAGAGGAAATTTTAACTTGGGAAGGTAAGTATGACTTGATAGGAATAACCAAAACTTGGTGGGATGACTCCCATGTCAATACAGCAATTGAAGGATATAAACTGATCAAAAAGAACAGAGAGAATAAAAAGGGAGGTGGAGTTGCAGTATATGTCAAAAATACACATTCCTGCACAGAAATACAGGAGGAGGAGAGTGGATGTCCCATCAAGCGCATCTGGATCAATGTAATTTTAGCAAAAAACAAAAGGAACCTGGTAGCTGGAGTCTACTAGTGACCGCCCAATCGAAGAGAGGAACTTGGTAGCTGGAATCTACTACTGACCACCCAATCGAAGAGAGGAAGCGGATGAAAATTTTAAAAAACAAATTGTAGCAGTTTCAGAGACATGCAGCGTAGTAGTGATGGGATATTTCAGTTATCCAGAATAGAGATGGGGGTATTCGTATATGAATATCCCTGCACAGGTGGCGATAATGAGGGTCCAGCCCCATGGGGCAGGATGGTCCGCTCAGCAATCCATCACAGATGCTACAAGTGACTGTGCAGATCATGATCTGCGAGCTACTCTTCAACCTTGCTGATGATCAAGGGGTCCTTCTCTAACTGGGAGGAGGTAATAGGACTCAGTCCTGGACCCGGTGTTCTTCAGTATTTTTATTAATGACTTGGATGAGGGAGTGCAGGGAAGGCTCGCTGACTTGGATGAGGGAGTGCAGGGAAGGCTTGCCAAATTTGCAGATGATATTAAATTGGGTGGAATAGCTAAAACCCTAGAAGACAGAAACAAAAGTCAAAATGACCTTGATAGGATGGAGCACTGGGCCAAAAGCAATCGAATGAGGAAAGGCTGAAAGAATTGGGCATGTTTAGCCTTGAGAAAAGAAAATTGAAAGGTGATACGGTAGCACTTTTCAAATATTTGAAAGACTGTCATACAGAGGAGGAGCAAGATCTGTTCTTGATCATTCCAGAGTGCAGGACACACAACAGTGGGTTCAAGTTAGAGTAAGCCAGATTTAGGCTGAATATCAGGAAAAATGTCATTGTTAGAGCAGTATGACGATGGAACCAATTACCTCAGGAGTTGGTGAGTGTTCCAACACTGAAGGCATTCAAGAAAAACTTAAGATAATCACCTGACAGACATGCTTTGATTGTATTCCTGCACTGAGCAGGGGGTTAGACTTGATGGCCTTGTAGGCCCCTTCCAATTTCATTTTGCTATGATTCTATGATTAGTATGGTGAAGAACCTTATTGGAGGTGCAGAAGACCCCTTCCAACTTCACTTTGCTATGATTAGTATGGTGAAGAGCTTATTGGAGGTGCAGAATCTCTCCTCAAGAGCCCTCCAGCATCAGAGAGATGAGAAATATTTGATTTTTTCAAGTACAGTTCCAAGAATTCCACATACTGGGTATGACATTTTGGGAATTATAGTTCACAAACTAACAGTTCCCATCTCTGCTCTGTCACCGTCTGTGGAATGTGAAATGAGGAACACAGCTGAACAAAGACATGATCTTTGTTCTGCCACTGGGCCTCCCATAAGTAAATAGCTGAACACAGTGCAAATGGAATGCTGGATTAGATAGGTTTCCAGTCTGTTTCAGCATAGATCACGTCTTTGTTTTCCATGGGCCAAATACCTTCAAAGCACTGGATGCACCCTGGTATCATTGAATCTCCAAACAAAGCACAGGCTCTTTACTTATCCACCCTGACAATCCATGTAAAATCCAAGACATGGCCTCCAGTTTTCAAGGCACAAACCAAGTGTAAGCCAAAGGTCTATTCTCTTATGTGTATGAATTGGACACATTAATCAAAATTGTCCAAATTATTTATTTTTGCATGTTATATTTTGTCAGTTGTGTTGTTGAAATAGTGCTTTATATTGAGCTGGAATTAACCATATTTGTTATCAGCTCTGAACTACTGCCCAGCTTTGCCCATATATTTTCAAGGAATGCTTGCAAAAGTTACATTTTGACAGCATCTGCCTGAATCTCCCCACTCGGAATGTCTTATCCAGCATGACTTTCTTCTCCACTGTTGGTAGGGGGAGAGAAAGAGATGCAGGTTCCCTCCTCTTTGTCCTCGCTATCATGGCACATTCTTATATACCGAGGCTGCAAAGTTGAGATAGTCAGTTAGTGAATTTCTTTAGCAACATTCTGCTCAAATTAAAAGAAAAAAAACTCCTGAGTAAGAGATAGGTAAAGGTTCCACTTGACATTTAGTCCAGTTGTATCCGACTCTAGGGCATGGTGCTCATCCCCATTTCTAAGCCATAGAGCCAGCATTTGTCTGAAGACAGTTTCTGTGGTCACATGGCCAGCGCGACTAGACACGGAATGGCGTTACCTTCCCACCGAGGTGGTACCTATTTATCTACTCGCATTTTTACATGCTTCGAACTGCTAGGTTGGCAGGAGCTGGGACAAGGGACGGGAGCTCCCTCCATCGCGTGGATTCGATCTTACGACTGCTTGGTCTTCTGGCCTTGCAGCACAGAGGCTTCAGGGGTTTAACCTGCAGTGCCAGCACATCCCTTTATTATTGCTAAGAGATAAAGGAATAGGCAAGAAGAGATATCCTGTTCCATGTGAAATAAAATGGAGAAGTCTTCTTTGAAAATCATGCCAGTTGTAAAGTATGCATTGTCTGGTACTCTTGTTTTTAGAGGTATTGCTTCTATGGACATACAGTAGATTTATTTTGCAGTTTGTACTTAATAATAATACTCTTAGAACTGCAAGGGGCCCTATGGATCATCGAGTCCAGCCCTTCCAAAGGAGGTACAGTGAGGATTTGAACTCTCAGTCAATGGCTGACAGAGACTGAAACCACTGAGCTATCCAGTGGTTTTTATTCATTGGAATTCTAGAACTGCAAGGTTCATCAAGTTCACCCCCTATCAAAGTAAAAAAGATCCCCAGCTAAAGTATACCCATTCCACCTCTGTTTAAAAATTCTCAATGAAGAGTCAATCAGCATCAAATATATATTTGATCTTTCTACATAAAAATGTCTAATTAAAAAAATAAACAGCAAAATCAAAATTAAAGCCTGCCAACAAATTAAAAACCTCTAAATTAAAGCCATAGCTCACTGAGTGATAGTTAAGTAACTGGCTGTGGAGCAGAAGGTTGAGAGTTGAATTCCTCCACTTTGCATCCCAAAAGAGCCAGCCTTGTGTGGCCTTTTGGGGAAAGCTGCACAGCCCCAGGTTGCCCCAGAAGAGTGAGAACGACAACCCACTTCTGAGTATTCTGTACTAGAAAACTAAAAGGGTTGCCACAAATCAGAATGGATTTGATGATGCAGAATCAAAACTAATAAGCACCATCCACTTGTTACAATTCATCTTCAGGCCACAAATCATCCTAACATCCCAAAGCCCTCCAGATGTCTTTGCCTTCTGGTGGAAGCAAACGGTCCATGTAGTTAACTGGAAGACTAGCCATCCTTCAGAAGGTCTTGTTGTATGAAAGTATATTTAGGATTCACTGTAATTGACTTACTGACTGAATTTCATATTGAAGAGTCAATTGAAAAAAAAACCCTAGTGGTTAAACTCTAAAATAAATGCAGATAAATAAAAAGACACACAATGTGTAAGGAAGCATTTTTCCCCCTTCAGGATGTGGAGTTCTACGTGCAGTTCCCATGTCTGCACTTGTGAACTATATTTGTTGAATGTAGTCCTGTAAATAGTTTCCATGGTTTCCTTGAGCACAGTTGTTCTGTGTAGAGTGAGGCAGTTTTTAGCCTCGGTATGCCATCTCATAAGTTAAGGCATGTTTGCTGTAGTGATTTGTTATGTGTCATTTTGTGCTGAAAGAATCTATAATAAACATCTGGGTTGCACCATCAACACAGTATAGTACAGAGATTAAAGGGTGTGTATATTTCTCCTGGTCCCAGTCTGTGGCCTTGCCAGCACCAGACCGCGGAGACAAATCTCCTGCCTCCCCGCATGCACAGACACATGCATGCCCCTCCCACGCACACATAGCCCCTCCCATGTACGTGTGGCCCCTCCCACACATGCACGGCTTCTCCCATGCACGCACAGATGCTCCCCTGCCCACACACTAAACTGGTCTGTGGAGGCAAAAAGGTTGGAGTCTGCTGTTGTAGACCATCTTGACTGCTGCCATTGATGCTGTCAGCATTCAGGCTGTCTTTTGCTATGTAAAACTGGGTGACACTTTTCCTGCTGGTAACATGGACAAGGTGTTGTTGGGCCATTTCCTGGGTTTTTGAATTGTAGGTACAGAAGCACAGTATCCCTCATTCATAAATCAGAGGTTTTTGGAATAATTCATTTTAAAAAAACTTTTACATATTGCTTTGGGATCTGTAACAATTCAAAACACGTGGAAAGTTTTAGAGGTAAGGTTGTTGTTGTTCATCTACTAAAGTTTGGACATCATGACTATTTTGACTTCAGGTCCAGCAGCTGTAGACAGTGGCATTGTTTCACATTTAAACCAGTCTTCGAAGTTCTTCAGTCAATTTAGACTTCTTCTTCCTGTGCTTTTTTTTCTTACTTACATTGCCTTGAATGATCAGCAATAAACAGTTGCCCTTTTCATTACATGACCAAAGTATTCTTGCTTTCCTGAGTTCACATTTTATGATTTCTTGGTCTTTATTCACTCACTTCATACTTTTTTGTTGATCATCCTATTGAGCTAGGAAATTCTATTGCAGACTGCAATAAATTCACATTTCAAATAGTTTGATCTTTTCTGTAATTTCATTTTAAAAGATCCATTCCGCACAGTAAAACACAGGGAAAATAGGGCACTGTAAAATGAGGTTCAGAGAACTTTACTTTCTACCCCATCATATCACATTTTCCATTTTGCTTTCTAGGTCTCCATTTTACTTGGGTCACTCTTACAAGCCCTATTTTGTTAATATTCATAGGCCTGCAACAGATCTGCTAGAATCTGTTTCAGTTTTGATGGATTTTACACATTTTATCTTTTGCTTTGCATAATAACCCATTATCCCCCCTTCTGCCATTTCAGTTGCACCCTCTTGACAACGGATGTTGCTGCTCGTGGTCTTGATATTCCGCATGTTCAGCATGTCATACACTACCAGGTATGAAGACAAACTGCATTTATGTATTGTGCTTGCAGTTGGTATGACAGCTGGCTGAAGGATTCTGGGATTATAGTCTCTTTTTAAAATGAGAACTTATTTCACTTTTTCCTGGATGCCAGGTTTTTCCTAGCCTCATTCATTCAGTCATTCATCAAAAGCATAGAGTCTGATCCACCACATTTGGCCTGGAAGCAGAACAAAAGGTGTCATAAGAGGAAAGGTACTGAAGCCTGAGTACTGGCAGTACCACTGACTGAGACCTGTGCCTCACTGAGGGCCAGGCTCTTGAGCCTTTGCCCTATAGGGGTGGGAAGTATGACAAAGCCAGGTGCTACTTTCCATCATGGACAGTCACCGTCATCCTCACACACCAGGGTGACTGGATCAACTGAGGCAAAGTTCTCCTTCATATTTCTGTGACAGAAAAAGCTGTACCTGGTGGAATTTTCTCCTGTGTTTTTCCTAAGGGGAGGACAAGCAATTGTACCTGTCCAGATAATGTTGGACTGTGATGAGGAGGAACCGTGAGTGTTGTTGTGCGGAAGCATCTGGGGTTGGAGCTACAGTAGTGTCCAATCCTGTCTTCAAGCTACAGGCTCCTTTTGAAGATGGAGGGCAACTTTATGTCTCCTTCAGCTGCCTGGCTTCCAGCTTCCAAAGTTCCTTCGCCCAGATCAGCAACTCCCCAGATATATCTTTCTGCCCTTTTTTGCTCTTTAGCTGGTGTCTGAAACTGGCCTTTGTAATAAATGAAAGCCGGGATTTATGTAAGGCGGACCAAACCTATGTAGGGCAGTCTGTGGGTCTCAAATTGAGGGCTTCAGTACCTTTCCTCTTGTGCCACTTTTGTTCTGCTTCCAGGGCAAATGTGGTTGACCCAACTCTCTGCTGTCCTGCTTGCTATCTGTCTTGGTGTTTTGCATTGTGACCCCTGGGTGTTTTTGCACCCAGTTGCCAGATCACTTGAGCTGACAGCTACTTCCAGCCTGCTTTCAGAGCATGTGGGCCACATCCTGAAACCCAAACACCTTGCACCTGATACAGATTTGAATCCAGTTATTTTTTTCCTGTGCTTGCACAGATTTGTGGCCTGCATACATGAAATCAGAAGCTTTGCATCTAGATCTAAGTTCTCTTCAGCTTTCTGAGCAAATGCAACATGTTAAGTCATAAAATAAACAGTCTGATGACCCCACCTAGCGGCCTCATGAAGATATTAAACAGCAAAACTGATTGTCAGAGAAGGCTGGATGCTGTTTTCTTTCTTATGTGTTATATCCAATTTTCATGGAAGGTTTTTAATCTCTTGCTTTGCTGCAGGTGCCACGTACTTCTGAAATCTATGTGCACAGAAGTGGCAGAACGGCCAGAGCTGCTAACGAGGGGCTGAGCTTGCTGCTAATTGGTCCAAGTGACATGATGAATTTTAAAAGAATTTATAAGACATTGGGGAAAAATGAAGAGCTTCCTTTTTTTCCTGTTGAAACAAAATATATGACAGCAATCAAGGTAAAATAAATCTTTCTTCTGAAACGAAGTTGGCGGGATAGCTCGGTAGGTTAGCTCAAAATATATGACAGCAATCAAGGTAAAATATATCTTTCTTCTGAAACAAAGTTGGCAGGATAGCTTGGTAAGTTAGCTCTCGAGCCAGAGGTTGGGAGTTAGATTCCCCCACTGTGCATCCCAGAAGATCCAGCCCAGGGTGCCCTCAGAAGAAGGGAGTGGTAAACCTTCTGAGAGCTTCTTATCTAGAAAACTCTAGAAGGGGTTGCCGTAAGTCAGAACGGACTTGATGAAACACGATAGTTTGGGGGCTTTTAAAAATAGTCACACTTTTCACCATGCCATTATAGTTTTTATTTATTTACTGCACTTTTAAACCCTCCCCCTCACAGTCAAAGTTCCCCAAGTGACATATGATTTGGTAGAAATGTAAAGAATGTTGCTGTTGTTGTTACAAAAAATGAAAAAATACACTTAAAATACACTTCTCCCTTCAACAACACTGTAGTTAGGGGTGCTAGACTCCCATGTAGTTCAAACTCCACGTGTAACTCCTGTGCCTCCAAATACATAGCTACAAAGCATAAACAGTTGATTCACACACAAAGAGAGAGAGAGAGCGAGAGAGAGAACAGTTCTCTCTATCAGGGTTATTTTCCATAACACTTACAATCCTTTCCATACAGTACTATGTGTAATGATCCTTAAAGACCCTTGTGACCCTCTCTATCAGGGTTATTTTCCATAACACTGATGATCCTTTCCATACAGTAATGATCCTTAAAGACCCTTGCGACGCCTTGATCTACAATTAGAGCTGAATTAGAGATGTGTTTGGGGACAAGTAGACACTTTTATGTTTTCAGTGTTGAACTCATGGGGTTCCTGGTGGCCAGGAGCACAATATTTGTTCAATATTTATTGATTGAATATTTATTTATTGGAATATTTATTCATTGGGTGGAGGGGAATTAATGTTTAACACAACCATTATGTTTGGACCCATGCAATTCAGGGGGAGAAGTGTTGTATCCAAACATCCTTTTTATTTTCCAGCTCAAAACATGTATGGACTGATTTGCCATAGGATCTTACAGAAATGATTTGCAGAATACTTGTACTCTCCAAATGGCATTCAACATCTTTAACAGTATAATTCAAATGCAAACAACAATTAAAACCCAACTCCTCAGTAAAATTGCACCCCTGAATTGCTCCAAACTTCCATCAAGCTGTCCTGGTTCATCCATAGTTTAGGCTGAATGGCAGCAACAATGCCTGTGTAGTCTGCGGGTCTTCAGTGCTCTCTTATAATAGTGCTGGGAAGTTACTGCATGGGACAGATGCATACTTTGCTGTCCTCAGTCCTAATACTTCAACATTTTCCTATAGGCAATGAGGGTGCTTTTCTGCACCTCTTTTCAGTGTTCAAATTTTGTCTTTGCATAAGACGCACAAAAACCGTGTGATGGTTGCCTTTTGTTGTAGGAGAGGGTGAACTTGGCGAGACAAATTGAGAAGGTGGAGTATTTTAACAGCCGTGCCAAGCATCACAACTCCTGGCTCCAGCAAGCCGCAGAAGCCCTTGAACTTGAGCTGGATGATGATGTTTTAATAGGTAAGTAGGACTTGGGGCTTGGGAAGAAGGAGCTATTGAAGCAGATTTACTAAGGATCCTGCCTTCTAAGAAGGAGGTAGTAATTCAGTATATCCATAGGGTTCTATCCATGATTTCCAAAATGTCTTTGGGTACTTTGGGACAGAAGATGTATATGCTTGATAGGAATCGTGGTGGAATGCAAGGGGAGTTCTAAGCCACAAATGTAACAAGAGTGGCTACGAATTAAGGCTACGTTCAGTATTCAGGGACAGCGTGTTATTCACACCTCAGTTTAGAAGGCAGGTTGGCTGTCTCATATCTGAGAACTTCCCAGAGGAATGGACGCTCCAGTGTACAGCAGCTGTTCATAATAACTGGAGCTCCAAAACATGGAACAGAAATATTTGGGTTCTTGCCTTGTGTGTGATTACACCTTATGCTGAAGTGAATTCTGTTTGTTCACCCAGGCCAGGTTTTGTACTTGGCCATCAGCTCCTTGGAATATCAACCAATAGGCTTTTCTTGTCCAGTTACATTTGACCCTAGTATCTCAGCACTGAGGAGTTACAGAATTGTGAAGTTGGACGAGGCCACTAAGTCCAAGCCCCTGCTCAGTGCAGGAATACAAATTAAAGTATATGTGCCAGGTAGTTGTCTAAATCTCTCTTGAATGCCTCCAGTGTTGGAGCACTCACCACCTCTCGAGGTCATTGGCTCCATTGCCTTACTGCTCTAACAGTTAGGAAGTTTTTCCTGATACTCAACCAGAATCTGGCTTTCTGTAACTTGAGCCCATTGTTCCGTGTCTTGCACTCAAGGATGATTGAGAACAGATCCTGCCTCTCCCCTGTATGGGGAGCCTTGGCGCTTGGATCTTCAGTGTACAAAACATGTGTCCTAACACTGAAGCACAGACTGCCACTCCCAGGGTAAGAGAGGTATGCAGAAGTAACCTCTGATCCAGCTTTGAAGCTGTCATGTAGAGATGTGAACCTACGGTGTCAAGCTCTCAAAATCCTCCCCTAGCTCTCAGTGGTATCCCTTACATGTTTTTGTCATGTCTGTCCGCAGGAGGCAAACGCAGTGAGCAAGAAGAAAGTGAGAAACTCAGAATGCTCAAGGGGATGAAGAAGCATCTGAAACACTTGCTGTCTCAGCCAGTGTTTAAGAACCTAATGAAGACCAAATACCCAACTCAGTCTGGAAAATTACTTGTGTCTGAGGCTTCGGGGGAGCATTCCCAGTCTGCATTGGGCATCGTGTCAGAAGCCCAAGCAAAGAAAATGAAAAAGCAAAAACAAAAAACAAAACAAAAAATGTAAACAAGTTAAATAAATGATGGAATTTCTCAGGATGCAAAATTAGGATCCCCAATTTCTCCTTTTTCACGCCATAGAGTACTCTGACCTCGCTCCCCTTTTTATCTCTCCACATTGGGGACGATGGCAGCCATGAGTTCAAAGGACTTTTAGTCGTAACTTAGACCCATTAAAATGGTTGGGCATAATTTGTCTAAAATGTTGACTAAAAACTTCCAAGCAAAAACTCTATTGATATTTGTGGGTGTAAACTAGTTGGGACTGAAATTGTGCCTTATGGTTGCCAAATTAGTTTATAGTACAGTTACTCAAGCAAGATAGATTTGGTTTAAATGATTCACATTGATTTAAATCACAACTTAAATTAAAAAATCAGATTTTTTAATAATTTAAATTTAAAAATTTGCATTTTTAATTTAAATCATGATTTAAATCACTTTGATTTTTAAAAAAATCATTGATTTTTATTCACCCTATACTTGTAAGTGGTGTGATACATTCGAAGAAAATACTTATTTATAATTCTAAAAAAATCATTGATTTTTATCCACCCTATACTTGTAAGTGGTGTGATGCATTCAAAGAAAATACTTATTTGTAATTCGTTAATTTTATGTACACAATTGATATTTATATGTACCTTAAGCTTAGGATGCCGCAACAGTATAGCTTTTTACTTTGAAGGGGGGGGGGGGAGAGAAAAGACCAGTCAGAAAAAATAAAGACCAGGTTTTGCCTAAGTAAAATAATTCATTCATTTCTTCTTGTTTTAAACTTGTCCAGCAGAAGTTTTATTAAAAGATTTTCAAACTTTTTGATTATTTTATTCTTTATAGTCCATAATTGATTTACATGGATACTATAGAAAGCATATAAACCAGCATTGGAATTCAGTGTGCAGAAAGCCAATGTTTTGCAATTTAAAATTAATATTGTAAATTACTCAACCTACAATACAATTACTGCCCATGAAAGCTTAGTCTTTAAAATGCCACAAGATTCAGATTAACATTGTCAGGGGCTATCCACCAGAAATTACCATACAGATCCCAAAATAAGTTGTGCCTGTTTGCAGGTACATGTAGCCTAAAATCTTGTTGCTTAGTGTTGTAAGTTGCACTACAGCAGTAAGTTGTACTAGAGTGCAACCTCCTAGAGAACAGATAAAATTGAGGATAAGGTTTCTGCACACTGGCTCTAAATATTAAACCAGAAAAGGATAGATTAAGCCTATGGAGAGCAAAAACAACACCTATTGCCAGATGGATCAATGCTGATTAAAAGTCTCCCACCATGACAAGACCCTGGGTGGACCATCTGGAAGTCAGTCAATAGACTGACATCCAATCCAGTGAAGTAAGAAGATCAAAGGATAATCAAATAATAAAATGGGGCTACTTGGATACAGGACAAATTTTCTGTGGCTGTGGAGAAATCAATTAATGCATCACTTATGTGCATGCAATCTGCCCTGCCACTTACTTGTACAAAAGAATTTCTAGCAAATGGTTGAGGTAATGTTATTGAAGTAGCCCACTTCTTGGTCCAAAATAGTCTAATTTTCTTAGCATTTTACTTTGTTTTTAATTTTACCTATATTAAATGTAAGCCCATAATTTTAAATTGTGCAGTGCTCTGATGTGAATAAAGACTAGAGTAGGCCCATTAAAGCAGTGGGGATTTGGTGAATCAACTCCGTATAGCCCATTGGCTCAAATGAACCTATTTTAGTTATGACTATGCCACAGTAACTTGTGTCTTATTGGTGTGTCTGTTTTACCTATATATCTTCCTTTTCCTCCATGGACCGTCTCCTTTTTATCCTAACAGTCCTGTGTGGTAGGTTAGATGGAGAGAAAGTGACCAGCCTCAGACCACCATCTGAGCTTCTTGGCTGAGGGAGAATTCAAAGCTCAGTCGCCCAAGTCCTAGCTTGGTCCTGCACTCACAGTCCTTTTGCTTGTGGCTCTCTCACGCACAAATTCCATTCCCCGAGATTATATAAAGAAGGTCATCATCAAGTCCTTAGGCTGCTGTGGGCCTATTAAGATGGCAAGTTTGTATATGTGATTTGGGGGGGCAATGTGTAGCCTTTATAATTAAAATTGTAAACCGCCCGGAGAGTGCTTGTAGCGCTATGGGGCGGTATATAAATCCAATAAATAAATAAATAAATAAATAAAGTTTGCATATGTGATTGGAACAGAAATAACTCCTTGGAGGCATGTGAGTATGTTTTAGAGGCCGCAGGGTAGAAGTAACTAGGCAGTTCTGTTGAAGTATTTGGAAAGTTAATTACATTTTCCAGAATTCGTTGACCTCAACAGCTTAGAAACCTACATGCAGATCAGCGTTGATGCTTGTTTACGGCACACACAGTATGTCCTGCTGGTTGCTGAGGGGAAGTAGTTTTACCCAAATTTGTATGTATTACGGTTGCTGTTTACCTTTTGGAACAAACATCTTTGAGGCGCAGGATAGTTAGTGGTGCAGGACAATCTTTGCCCAAATTGTACCTACAGTATATGATGCCAAAGCCTAGAGCACTTAGAAATGTCTGCTGCTATAATTACCCTGTTTTTATCTAGGTTCTGTGCAGGCTAAGCTGTAGGCCTCTAAGGCTCTGTATGCACAGAGACCTAGAAACCTGCCCTCGGTCATGCTCTTCCACTTAAAACCCTCCATTGGTTGTAAGAGTTGATTAAACATGGCTTTCTGTGAGGGTGGTCACTCACCCATTACCACAGAGAATATAAAGGTACATCTTTGCATATAATTTGTATATGCTGATTTACATGCATATGGAGACTAAATATAAATTTAAACAGAAATAGTCACTGTAGAAAGGGAAAATGGTGACCATGAGATGGGAGTATGATGCTAACAACTGATCAGCAACTACAAGGCCCTTTTTCTCCTTTCTTTACACATTGACCTTTAAACCACTGGTTCTTAACCTTGGATTACTCAGGAGTTTTGGACTGCAACTCCCAGAAGCCTTCACCACCAACTGTGCTGGCTGGGGTTTCTGGGACTTGCAGTTCAAAAACATCTGAGTAACAAAGGTTAAGAACCACTGCTTTAAACAAAAATGAGACTAGATGGCCTTTCGAATAGACATGTGATTAGTGTGTTGGGCTAGGATTCTGGAGACCTAGGTTCAAATGTTAACCCCGATACAAAATTCACTGGTTGACCTTGACCTTGGACCCGCCATACGCTCTCAGCCTCATCGTCCTCACAGAAAAACTATATACTAAAAACTATCGTACAATGCTTTGAACTCGTAAGAAGAATAATAGCATGTAAAAGTGAAAAATAAATAAATTGAAGACTATAGTTTAGCAGTCCTTCGGAGAGAGGACTGTCTACACACAAGGGCAGCAACTCTTAATGGTGGTGGCAGGGTGGCTACAGCCTCCTGGGAGGCCCTACCACATTTAGAGAGGGCCACAGATTCATCTGTTCATGTTGCACCCTTGTTAGCACATAGCCCAAGGCCTTCCTAGTTTGATAGGGGGTCCTGAAAACTGGTAAGAGCTCCTAAAAAGGCTGAAAAAAAGGTTGCAAATGGCTGTGCAAGAGTATATATGCACCCTCTTTCCCACGGGTATGTTTGTGTGTGTGTCTCATTTATAGGCCACCTTTCTCTCAATAAGGAAACTCAAGGCATCTCATAGTATTAAATAGAATTATAACACAATAGATTATCAATTAAAATAAATGATCATAACAACTAAAATACATTGAATGATTAAAAACTAAAAACCTCAACTAAAAAAGCAGCATTCAGGGGCTTGGTTATGATTGTTAAAACCTGAAGAGTTGGGTCTTCCATCTGTTGCTGGAAGAATAAAAGGGAGAGAGCCAACCTAACCTCCCAAGGGAGGAGAGGGTTCCATTTATGTACAAAAACCAAGGGCACCACTGCTAGTGAGCAATCTGCTCCTTTACATTTCGCTTTTGACACCTTTTTTCCCCCGTCGGGGCTCCTGTACATGTTGAAATTTGCTCACCCTTGTATTATTCCCAACTCAACAAAGGCTGCACGTAATTGAATTTTGATAGCCATGGTCATGTTAAATGGGCAGGGATTTTTTTCCCCAGCAGGGGCAGCTTAAGGTATAAAAGGATATGAAAGCTGTGTGGCATATCATACTGTATGTGTGAGGATTATTTGCTTTTGCTTGACACTTCCAAGTCTTTCCTAGGCCAGTTGACAATGTGAAGATTTTCCAACATTAATCTTTATGAAAATCAGCTAGGGAGCTTTCAGGACTGCAAGTGACATATAGAGTGATTATTTTCTAGGCCAGTTCTAATTTCCAATTAGAGTTATAACTAATATAGCTATGCCCAAGGGCCATCCTATATAGCACAAAGATATGTGCCCTTCTCTAAGAATCTCTGACACCTCCAGCCTTTTAATCACTGCCCTTGCATGGAGGTTGAAGGTAGCATTGGCAGTATTTTTTTTCTAGGCCCTGCTTCTCTACTTTGAACAACAGTTTCATCTGCAGCAATTAGAAGGTGGTTATAGTTATTTCCACACCATAGAAAGATTCTTCTGCTAACCTCAGCTAAGGAAAGGCAGCCTATTTCAAAGTTTGATCTCTAGTATCTTCCAGAAAGATGCGCTTCATCTTCACTGTTGAAGCCACACATTCCTGTTCAATAGTGTGTTCTCATTTTCCAATAAGCTCACAGAGCTGACCCTGATAGAGTGAGGCATTTGCCTTGGACAGCAATAGTAGGAAGACATCGGAGAAAAGAGGTAGGTGTGTCACACAGCCTGTCCTCCGTCCCCTAGTGCTATTGCCATCAAATTTGTGTCTGTAAAAAATACTAAAATCTGCATGAAAACCTCAACACCGCAACATCAACCCCCAACGCTCTACAAAATAATAATAATGTGTCATCATGTCAGTTCTAACTTATAGCAACCCTTCTCAGGGTTTTCAAAGTATTTTACCCTTCCCTTCTTCTGGGGGTGCCTTGGGACTGTGCAGCTTGCCCTAAG